GCGGTCTCACGGAGCGGAACGGGCACGAGATGGGGGAAGTTAGGGGGATAAAACTTCCGGAAGTACATGTGTGAACAAGTAATACATTACACGACACATACATACGAGGGTACACTTAATTTAACGAATAAGCTATAATAAAAGAACTGTGCTTTAATATCGAAAATTTGAGAAGTAGGCTTGATTAAGTATTGGATAAGTATGATATAAGTAACTAGGGTGACCACAGCAATTCAAAGTGGACTTTGTCCTCCGACAATAAGTCTCCACTCTCCTGCACCATCTCAACCCTGTCCGGAATAGGAACACCCGGAGATATTTATCCATTTCATCCATCCAGCGATACCTGGATGTGTTAGATATGGATGCTATTAAAATTTTGTGAAAGTTAAGTATGATTATGTGCATTTGACGAAAAAATAACAACAGTAGAAAAACGAAATTGTAACGGATTAAATAGTCAATGTTCAGTAATCTTTGGGCCACACAATATGTAAAAGTCAGATATACAATGTTTAGTAACCAAACAATATTAAGTCGTTCGTTAATCAAGAGGATCGCGATCGCTGAACTAGTTGCCGGTTTGAATTAGATCTGGTTTGTGAAGAAGTTAGTCGCAAGTTGTGTAAGGCGGGAGGTCTCCGGAATAACTGAGGACTGAGGACTGCGGGATCATAGTTTGCGACTTGCATCGCAATGGAACTCATTTTAATCGGATTGCTTTTATAACGAGTCCCGCTCATTTACATCTCTGATTAGATTCTCGTCTCGTTATCGGAGTTCGTTATTGGTCGCGCCTGAGGGATAACTTCGTTCTCGAATTAAAATTTTACGAATACCTAATACAGTTATAAAGTTATTAATACTTTTGTTGGAGTGATACGTTTTAATTATTCTCATTGCAGTCTTGGTTAGATATTACAAGTTGGAATAAGAAAGTTATCTTGTTTAAGAGAAAGTAAAGGGTTGGTAGGACTGACGCATACAAGATAATGTCATTACTTCAGGTGTGGGTGTTGTACATTTAATAAAGTGGTTAACATTAGCATAATGAATGTTAAGGAATGATGGTAAAGAAAGTCAGCTGCTCAATACTTAGAAAGGAATTCCTGTGTAAACCGTTCTGAAATAGTTTCTGAGATAAAGGATGACACGCTTAATAGAAATCAGTTCCGTATAAATATTATATTAATATAAATTTCTAATAAATATGTATAAATATCTGGATTGCATTTTTTTCAGAACTTCAAATTGTGTAACTTCGACAAAATTCGAAAGAAATTCTAATGAGTTCTTTACTTCTCTCTTCTTATGTTCATCATACTATTTCCGTTGCATTCCGCTTCCTCTAACTACTTCATAACCTTTATGGTCCACAGTACTAACTTTTTGTTACACAACAAATGCTTAAAATAAGTTTAATATTTCCTTGGTCGTTTATTTATATTTACAAACATATACTTGCCATATGTCGCATCATACAACATTAAATCGGGAATTACGTCTAAAAATATCATGTTTATTAGAAATAAAAATGAAGTTCGGTAAATTACGAACGTAATCTGCTAACAATCGTGCGATGGTTGCGCTCATATGTTAAGCTTTTGATGTATTATTATCTGACGAAATAAAACCTTATACAAACGGCTTTTAGAGTTCCTCGAGCCCTCGACATAAGATCTTTCTAAAAATGAACATTATTATTTCGACTTCTTACAAGTATAAATGATTTCAGATATCTTAGCGGCTCTTAACTTTGTGTGTGTCGTTGCGCAGAACACAATTATGGATGTAGCGGGATGCGGGGGAGGGCATTGCGCAACGCACCGATGACCTTGAGCCGCAAAAATATTGGTTAGAACTATAACAATATTTTAAGAATTTCTCGATAGGTAAGTACACTAATGTCAGAAATGAAGCTTTGCAGCATGTGCATATGCAATGAAAATATTTCTCTAATGAATTAATTTAATTATAATTTATACAGAACCATGAATTACAAAAGTACAGATAAATTTACAATTCCTTCTACACGAAGCGTGACTTAGCTACATAAACCCTTTGCCTGTATGCTCGGCTGCGATCGTGTGTACATCGCATTATCGCAGCGAACCTTCAACATTTGTCAAAATATTGTCATACGACAATGGAACTCTACCTTCAAAATATATCTTTGGAGTTGCATATATATAATCTGCATGTTAATTTATGTTGATATGTAAATAATATGTAAATACATTCATTCTCTTTGTCTGTCTGTACATGTACATATCTGAATAGTACAATAATGGATACATGATACTATATAGAAATGCATGTCTACATAAAATTTGTAGCAGTTGTTATTGCAAAAACAAGGACAGAATTTGATTTTGTTCGGTGGCTCAGTGGTTTGGCTCTTGACTTGTAATTCCTGGGCTCGAATTCCGCTATATACCAATGTGTTTTTAGATTTCGGTTAGCTAGTGCAAGTCACCCCTGATTTAAGATAGTTTCAGAGCCCTTAGTAGTGTCTATTATGGTCTGCAGTTGACGATTTTTTTATTTACCTTTTTGCCAATAAAAGTTGCCTGTATAGCATGTTATGTTTTATTTCTCCTGTATGCACTTGGTAGAAGACATATGACTTGGTAAAATGCAAACGATAATATATCCTTCAGCGTTCGAAAGCGACATAAATCACATCTTAAATCATGTAACAATGACATTGAAGTCTGTACCAGGAATTTAACACAGAGTGTTTGGCGAATATAAAAATACATAGACAGAGCAATGTAAATATAGAACAACATTTCTAAGAAAGGATAGTCAAAGGTAGCAATGATTTACATAATATAAAATTAATTGATGTACTATATCACGGATATAGCTTTGTATATAAACGCGATGTTAATAAAATGAACACATAATATTTTAGTATCAATGTAAAAAGGGATTGTTCAGAACTAACATATGAAAGGTATTATTTCTACCTACCCCATTGTGTTACATCATCACAAAATTAAGTCTTAAAAAGAATCCAACGCGTGTTATTTAAAAAAGAAACATAAAATTCTCATTCAAAATTAATCAAGCTTTACTTTTCAATGCATTTATTTAATAAAAGTATTTTCATTAATGAATAAAAAAAATCGACCTATGAATTGTTAAAAGCTACGCTGTTACTACGCTAGTTACAAATACAATGGAAACAGAAAGGAATGCCGTCATTTTAAATGCAGGAACTAATCCCGCTACCGAATCTACAAAGGCTCATTAATATCAGATTACAAACAAAACGCATTAAACTAGCGGCGGCCCACGCTACCTCTGATTGATTACATTACTAGCTTTTTTTGTTGTTTACTTCTTTTACTATTGTGATACAGTCCTCGTAATACTTTATTTAAACAAACTAGCGTTAAGACACTATACAACTGGTGTTAAGTAGTCAGTATTGGATTGTGTTCGAATTTTTATATGCAGAGTTATTCCAATGAAGTACTATTTCTATCATTTCTATCAATTGGCTTTTTGATCTGAAATGTCATGTCTATTTTTTTGTCATATATTTAGCAGGAATAGAAAACTAGATGTAAAATGACAAATAACTGATAACAGCGCTTTCTAGCTGTGTTGTTTTCCTTTTATCATCATCATCAGCTTACTATACGTCCCCACTAAAGGAATCGGAGCCTAATTTAGGGGTGATTAGGCGGCAGTCAACCACGCTGGCCAAATGCGAGTAAGTTCAATTCAAACTTATGTTTGTCATGTCACACTTTGTTTTCCTTTACCTTACCAACGTCAAATAAATGTACATATGTAATAGGAAATCACAAAACACATCGGTACATGATGGGATACGAACCCAGGACCTGCAGATTACAAGTCAAATGCTGTTTTCGTTTAATATCTGCAATATCATTCATTTCTCGTCTAAATTACTTAAATGTAAGGGTGAATTTTTATTTAAATATGAATTCTCGTGTACGGGTCCATTAAATGTCCGTTAACCCTATTACTGCAGAACGAGTGTAACAGACAGGCCAACTTTATTATGCCTCCGGTTTGAAAATAACCTTTTATAAAGGAATAATTTTTATTCGAATTCCAAACGCCGACCCGGAAATTAAAACGGGAGTGCGCTTTCTTCTGATAAAATGCGGGCAAATGGCTACGGAAATATGTCGCCGGGCAAAGGCAACAGATGTAGTTCATAGAACTGCTCAGATGAGTTTCTTTATTTTATATATTTTAAAGTGACAATTAACGAGCACCCTCCTAAATTCGCCTAAATGGTGAACCGACCGCTACCCACAGACATTGCAGATGCTTTGCCTACCTTTCATGGACGGAGGAGGAGACGCACAGAAAGACAATATTTTCCCTTCTTATGCATTCTCTCTTCTTCATCAAATCCCCTTCCTCTTCCCATTCTTTCTTCGTAATAAGGACAATAGTTTCGTATTCCATTTGCTCAATAACCATTGTTGGTGACCCAAATAAAAATAAACTTTCGTAAAAGTATTGTTATTGCAAATATGCATAACCAATATTTTTGTCAAATAAAATGCTTCACTTAATAAGCGAAACAATCTTGTCCGAAATATCAATTTATTCACGAAATTGTATTAACATCTAAAATGCGTTTCCCGCGCAAACGTTGCACTTTGATGAAAATTTTAACGAACGATATATCGCTTCATTAGTAGCGCATCTCATATGAACAAAAGATTAAACATCAAGGGAAATAGAACCTTAACATAACGCAACAAGGCCTATGCGGCATATGGAGAGTCAGCCGTAGTAACTTTAAAATCTAGACATTTTGTCCGTAACATGTGCGCTATTGTCGCAAGATAAATTAAAAAAGTTACAGCGTGGAGCAGTGCAGCCGTTGTTAAGACTTTTTACCGCTTTTTTAATAGTTCCGTTTATGTTTTTTTAATAACACTAGCGTTAAATCAAGTCCTTGCGTACAGTACACCTAATGAAACTAAAACGTATACACATCTCACCTGGCTTATCCAAATCGCTGAGGAATTCCTCGGTGTCAGTATAAGCGGTGGTGCGGCCCAGCGCAGCGAGCACGGCCAGCCAGGCCCATAGCCGCGTAGACCTCGCGCGCAGCCCCAAACCACGCGGCCCCATATGACGCGGCCCCATCGCGCCCCACGCACCTCAACTGTTCATTTCACCTCACTCACAGTCCCGCGCACTGCACTCACACTTTGTTCCTATCATTTGTACATTTTCCGACATTTACCTGAAACAATACACTTTATTTTAATTTGCTGTTTTTATTTTTCATCGTCGATAAATTACAATTGTGAAAGAGACCATCTATGGACAAAACATGCGAAGTTTAAAAGGTATAACAACAATAAAACATGGCATAAGGCGAGAAAAAAAGCTAAATATTTGATATTATTTTAGATTTAACATGAAAACTCCATTTCGCCTCTCCATTGAAAAATATCACGACTGAGATTTCATTATTTTGAAGTTCGCGAACGGAAGGGAATCTGACATCTTGTTTTCCTTCTAAAAACGCCTCTCGAAGCCATCTTGTTTTGTAGGAGAGTGGATTATATATTTTTAGAATGTTATTATACAAAACTTTATTGTTCATAAGTCTTCTATGTTTTTATTATTTGTATTTTGTTTATATTACATCTGTAAAAGAATAAAGTTGAAGTAAGACATGTAGTGTTTGGTATTATTTAAACAACGCAATTTATAGATACATAGGCGTAGATATCAATTCTAGCTATATCAATAATTTCTAAGCAATGTAGTGCAAGAAATATTACCTCTCTCGCGCAGATAAATCTAATCTAATCTTTAGTATTACAATACAACTTTAACCTTAATCTAATATGGTGCTAACCGAAACTTTATTCTAGTTCAGATTAGAACTAATTGGTGCTATAAGATACGACATTGTCACTGTTAACTTTGTAGTTAAACTAACACATATGTTATTTAAGTATTGATTTTCAGGAACAGAACAAACGGGGAAGTTAATTACGTAACTAGCTGGCAAACTTAACTGGCGCTGCGGGAAGTGTTGATTACTCGTAAAATACGGAATTTTCGTTGAACATATTCAATGTACATTTCACTTGTTTAAATTCATTTTTGTATTCGTTATGTTCACTTCGTACATTCCCTTGAGATAGACTACGAATTTTATGGTGAAAGGTAATCAAGCAAGCTCTTTTGATGCATAACCGTGGGTTTCAGAACCCAAATACTCCGTTTAAAACATATTGTTATCTCTGTTTTGTCAAGGATTTTTGTCTCAGAAACCAACAGTATATGCGCGTAATTTTTACGTAATTTTTACGTTACGAAAAAAAAATAGACAAGAAAATAGAGAACTATTAGAGATTTCTAACACATTGGTCAGAAACATAGATCTTACTGATGGATGGATGTTTGTTAGTAGGTATTTCCAGAAAGACTGCATCAATCTCGCTGAAATCTGGCATAGATTATTTATTTTTTAATTCCGCGCAGACGGAATCGCCTGCGATAGCTAGTTTTTAATAATTCCTATTGGGTGGGTGTTGATCAATGCACGGCGGAACGTAGCCTCCGACCCACTTTGTATTCGGTGCGCACGTGGTCCCTTGTCACAGCCGTCTGTCTGTCACACTCGCCGCCTTTAGGGTCGCATATATTTTTTAAGGTTTTCCTATCGGACAGCGCAAAAAGCCTCCCTCAGGGATGTAAACTGCTATCCCTCACGCATATATTGGTATCTTAATAGATTTAGGACGGGGCTTGTCTTGGAATTAGTTATAGTGCGGATAAAGAAATGTGACCGTTGAACTTCGCAAAACAAATAGTTAGCGTACAAAAAAAACTTTAGACTATGTAGGATGTTAACGTGGGTGAATCTTACTAATATTATAAACGCGAAAGTTTAGATGAATGGATGGATGTTTGTTTGAAGATATCTCCGGTACGGCTCACTGGATCTTGTTAAAATTTGGCACAGATGTAGGTCATAGTCTGGTAGAACACATAGTGTACTTAATACTTTTTTATCTGCGTGAGTCGCGGTGTACTGCTAGTTAGGATATAAAGTGTACATTTCTGATAAATGTAAGGTTACGTTTTCCTGTTACAAAAAGATGGTAGCAAGTTTTAAAATCGCATATTATTCTCACCATATAACTTCAATATAAGGAATTATATTTCGAAAGCGGTATAAATGTAAATGGTCGGGAGGCGAGGCCTTGTTTTAAATGTATCGTTTAAACAAAGTAAACTTTGTTGGCGACAATGTTGAATGTATATCAGGTGCAAAAACTTCATTCGTATTCAGACGTCGGCGGCAAATTTCCCACGCTGATATTACTTGTACGCGGATAAAGGTTATGCACACACAAAGCTGTGCGGGAGATAAGCTATAAACTTTGTTTACTTATACCTTAACACCTTTTACGTTTAAAGTTTTTAATAAGAATTTACTCCTAGTGGGTTTTTTATGATGTTCGGTTGGAAAGGTCTGCATTGCTTAGTTGTGCATTGTCTGTTTCTCGTAAGTTCAGAAAAAGGAATAAACTATCACTAATTTTACAGCTTTTTTAAATATGTAATATATTTAAAAAAGCACAATAGAATTTTAAAAGAAGTTTTCAATATACTTTATGAATATAAGTTTTAATACTCTGTCGATATATTTCAACGTGTATGTGAACAATTAATAATTGCATAGTTTAACATCGCTTTGCTCTCTCTATACAACAATCCTTATATAAAATCTTATTTTATCCATATTGAATAGGAAATATGTTACAGACTTATCACAAAATGTTTTCACATTTAATATATGTATTTGCTAAATGGTAAAAAATTAGTATTACAGTAAAAATAATCTTTATGTGTTGTAATTTATTTGGTTGGTATTTTCTTGTATGTACATTAGAGAAATATAAACATATTGCTTATATTTATTTCCATAGAAATCTTTTTAAACAATATCTAAACAAATTGCTCAAACATTATTTTAGTTTTAAAACCATCTTTTTCAACGTAAACGTATTTAACAACAAATTTTAATTAGTGAATTTGTGCGAGCAATATCTTCGCGGATTTCGTTTGATATACAACTTCAATCGACTTTTACAGCGCACGTACGTTTAATATTTGGTATAATGACGTCGTAACACGCCTCTGAATCTTTATTAAAATGTTATTTAGAAGTTCATTAGAAACAATTTATGAAACATTTGGGTACGCATCGCGTTTCAAATTTAATTTTTATAAATTGACATACATATTTGCGTCTGCGCTGGTGAGTCCATGGCACAACCTTATTGAGACTAATGTTTGGTGTACATTAAGCCAGTACAGTAGGACAGTGGTGATAAAGTGAACACTAACTGGCGCCAGCCAGCCATCATACCATGCAAGCGCTAATGTCATACTGTACAGGCGAAATGTAAACTAGATATAAATTACGACGTCTTCCACTTGTTTAGCTTCCACGATAGATAACGTTTTCTAAAATTGTACATTATTTGTGGAAAATAATTTAGATATCTTCCATACTTTGATTATAAATATGGTATTATAAAAGTTTATTCATACAATCCTAGGAAGGAAGCAAGTTGGTAAGCAAGCAAGGAACTAACAACAAAAATCCATTTTAAAACTAAACACAAAAGAAGTGAACTGAATGTTTGTAGAAGAGATTTTCGTAAAAGTATCAATAAATTCCAGTTCGAGCGCAATTTCCTGTAAATAATGAAGGTATGGTAATCCTACGGGAGTTGTGCCTTACTTACAGCTAAATTCTCATTTGTATCCTTTGCAGCTTAACGTAAACCTTCGCGGCTAAAGATTTTTTCGTTACAAATAGTTTTAGCCCCGGCTTAGCAATTGAAATAGTGACTCCCGGTTTTTCTAACATTTTGTAGTTTAAACCACTGCTGAATAATGCAGTTCTTTAAATGTTAAAATATTAGCTGCTTCAAATGATTCTGTATTTTCTGAGTCTACCTTTTAACAACAAAAAATCTAAATCCTATATCTATCCTTTTTCCATAGTTTATTAGGTTAAAAACGTAGTGCTTTTGTGTTTATTGAAAAGTTTTTATGGATGACCAATATTTTAGTTCTTTAGTGGCCGTTTAATAAAAATGGTGTAGATCAAGATAGAAGATGCAGGCAGTAGCATAAGGAAAAGAAAATGAACAAAGGTCAATAGAGTGGATGGTGGCAGACGGTAATAAAACTGCAATCAAGGCGACAATGCGTTTTAATAGAGGTTCCAAGTGAAAGGACTTGGAGATTGAATTCCTTAATTGCCCATCCGCAACAGAGAACACTTTAATGAACTCGACTTTCGGTCATCGAGGAGGGTTTTGTGCAAATTTCATAATATTTCTTCCACTTCGCTCGACTCAAGGCACAAGGCTCGTGGGAAAAGTTTTTTAATCTTAATCGCGGCCGGGGCTGTCAGGAACCGGAATTGCGTTCAGCCGAAGTGCCAGCCCTAAATATTTTTTTATCGCCCTGCCAATAAATCAGCGATCGAAATGTTTGTAATAAAACTGTACTATCGTTACATTAAATATTACAAAACGGAACGCGGTTTCTGTTGCGCGATCAGAATGCCGCTGATATTTACGACTTTTATATTTCCTTTTAATATCTAGAGGCCTGTAAGCAAAGGAATTTCACCGCTTAATATTGGAACACGTAAAAGGCATTATTGTAGGTTACAGAATAAATGGTCCCTAACTTGCCTCCCGGTGAAATATGGCGGCAAATATTATCACAGACCCGAAGAAGCTGTAGAAAAAAGGTTGGCAATGGAGTGTGCAGTGAAACTGAAAGGATTTGGCGGGTAAATCCGTTTATTAACGCGGATCCGGAGTCAGAGCGAGCGCCGCCTACTTTTCATTGAAATTCGAGTGGCACATAAAATGGGGCGTAAATTCCCCTCACTAATGCTAGGACACTCAAGTGTTGCGCGCCGGAACACGACTTAGGACGTTTTTATGGAGGCCCCATCGCTACGTCTTTAGGATGAATTGAAAGCTGGAATTGCAAATTTGTTGGCCTCCCCCTTCCCCGCCGACGCCCTCCTTATGTTTATATTCAACGCTGCCCGCAATCGTATAATAAGACGAGTAGTCTTCCAACTATAAACAAACAAGATTTGTAGAAGATAAAACAAAATAAAAGTCCTTAATGACTTTTAATGACTTCTTTAATGATAATTAAACTTTATTATGATATTTCTTA